AAACCCAAACAGTCCTGACCCGCGACAAAATGAAACAGGAAAGTACTGCAGTGTAATCCATTTATTTCAACAAAGTAACTGTATTCTGAATACCACCTTTTTAAACGGTAACTGTAACGGAATACAGTTACTCATATTTTGTATTTTAAATACGTAACGGCGGTACATGTATTCCGTTACTCCCCAACACTGCTCACATGTTAGTCTGCTCCAAACATTTCCACAAAGGTAAGTTTTCTGTTGTAGTTATTACGTAATTTATCGTAACATAATTGCTGATGTAGGTTACAAATAAGTCTTATATTGATTTGAATTGAATCCGTCGCGCTATGCTGCTTTGTTCACTGTGGCTTTGCGGGCTAATGTTTGCCAATTTTTTGATGTGTTTTATAGAAAAACCAGCCTACAAAATGCTGGAATGCGATCCAGACTGGGCGCCCTCTATCAACCTGGGTCATACCGAGTTTAAAGCTGCTACCACAGCGATTGGTTAAGAGAGAGAGAGCGATATCAAAACAGCCACGAAAAGCGAAAAGTCACGCATATATGTTCCCAAGTGTTGTATTGAAACAAGTGATGAATAACTGTTTTTGAATATGGTTTTTTTTTTCATTGTTGATTTGTTTTTCACCAAAGCTGCTAACAAAGCATGATGGAATACAATTTTGCCTCTTTCTTGTAAGATTCTATAATAGAGTGAAACAATAATGGTAAAAATGGTAAATGGCCTGTATTTATATAGCGCTTTACTAGTCCCTAAGGACCCCAAAGCACTTTACATATCCAGTCATCCACCCATTCACACACACATTCACACACATTCACATAATGCCATTTATAAATACAGAAACATTGAATTAATTACAAAACACTCTTTTTTTCTATTAGATCTGAAAATGTTGTGTAATACTACAACCTGAAACAACAAATAGATTGCGTTGGCCTGTACAGGAGATGAAGAAAAAAAATGTAACAACAGCGGTGAAATGGAATAGTCCAAATCAAGTAAACTGGACCTGGGCTTGTTGCAGGGATCTGAAGTTATTAAACATTTTGTGAGTGTAGGGACTCACACTTCACTCAGGATCATATAATAATAAATATGTGCGTGATGAAAGTTGGGCAGCACGCTATCGTCCTTACTCCACTCTGTATGCTCGTATGGGTCTGACCCTTTCACTCCTTTGATTTTTTTCCTCATACTTTTTTTTTTTGCCTTTTCGTCAAGTCTGTCTTTGTACGGACCTGCCGTGTTCTCCGTTGTTTTGTACATAACTGTTTTTGGGGCAAATAAAATGAAAGTAGGGATTAAAACCGCAGAATTAATGATTACCGGTGCTGGAAATGCTAGTGTTTGATGCAGTGTCTTGATGTTGTTGCCACATGTACCCACAATGCAATGCGCGAAAGTCACGTGGTCTGTCAATCTCTATTGAAAAAACAAAAGTTGTATCCAAGATGGCCGACTTCTAATTGGCCACCATGGTCACCACCCATCTTGAGGAGTTTGCCCCCTCACATAAACTAATGTGCCACAAACAGGACTTTAATATCACAAACCATTCCCATGTTATTACGGTGTATCCATATACATGGTCCACCTGTAGTATATACACAAGGCTGTATGTAAGCGTGAACAGTGAAAAATGTGGTTGTCGCACAGTGAAATAGTCCTTGGAAACATTGCATAGTTAAAGAATATTGCACAGTTAAGTTTGTATTTTTCACAGTGGTTTATCCCCTGAGTATATTCATTAATGTAACAGCCCTGGTGTATGTGCTGTTTGGGCCTTAATTGTCCTGTACACCAATCCTAAGGTTAACAGCTGGAACAGGTGATGTGCGGGTGGGATGTGTCCTTCAGGATGCTACAGGCTTTTCTGTGGTAGCGGGATCTGTACAGCTCCTCTAGGGAGGGAAGAGCACAGCCGATGATCCTCTGGAAAGAAGAGAAACCTCTTCAGAGGTTCCTTCCTGTTAAAAGAGAGTTTTTCCTCCCTACTGTCGCTAAGTGTCCTCTGATTGTTAGAGTCTTTATTTTGCACTGTAAACCAACTTGAGACAACTATTGTTGTGACTTGGCGCTGTATAAATAAAACTGAACTGAACTCAAGTAAATCGCCACTGAGTAAAAAACATTTCACACGATATTGAGCTTAATCCATCAGAGTGAAGGCGCACATATTGAAGAAGCTTTAGGAGGGGGGTTAGTCTCAGAAGGTTTACAAATGTGCATGATATGATATATCATGACATAATAAAATCTGATCACTTTGACTTACAAAAGTTGGAGGATGCGTCTTGGGAAGTAACTGAATGAAAGGCGAGCTGGGGGATACAAACAGAGAATATTTTTTTTGACAATCATTTCTAAAATATGGTCCATAGAAAAAAACTACACAGCAGTGACACCACAAGCCATGCAAGAATGAAAAAAAGTAATATTATGGTGGGGCGTGGTCTACGATGCCGTGGCATGGGTGATGGATGCACCTGGGCCCTATTTCAGGAAGCCTCTGAGTAAGTATACCCTGAGTTAACGAAAACTCTGGGTTTTTGGTTTCACAAAGCGAGTTTAGATTCATTCTGAGTGAGTTACAATGACGACACACTCCGTGAAGCTAACCTGCCCCCTAGCAGGTTTACTTCAACTAACCCTGACTTTCTCCAGAAACCTGACTGTAGGAAGTGTCAGACATGGCGTGCCCCTTCCTTGAAGAGCCAGTAGATGTTGAAGCCCAAATTCTCCGCAGAGAGAGTGATTAGAGCGTGTTCGGACATTTTATCATTTCCTGATGATTTTCTGTGTGAACGTTACCGTTTTTCAGCACAATCTATAATTTATTTGAATAACATCCTCAGGCCTAATATTGCTCATGTGACACATCGCGGACATCCTCTCAGTTCTGTACATATTATTTGTATCGCACTTCAGTTTTTTGCAAACGGGAGCTTTCTGTATAATATTGGTGACGCTGAGCACGTTTCCAAGGCTACCGTCTGTCAGGCAGTCAGGAATGTTACAGTTGCACTGAAACGTCTCCTGTACTCGTTTGTGGTGTTCCCCGGTCATAGACCCACAAGATTTATCAAAGAGGGATTCCACAAAATTGCAGGTATCAGGATGAACAAAACTTAATTCATGATGTGGTGATATTTGAACTACTACTTAAATTTTACATTTATTCTCACGGTTCCCAGGCGTGATTGGCTGTACAGATGGGACTCACATTCCAATCATTGCTCCTTCAGTAAATGAAGGAGACTATGTGAACAGGAAGTCTTTCCACAGCATTAATGTGCAGGTACATAGTTCCCTGTAGCATTTCAAACTAACAAATTATTTCATTATAGTAATGGATGCTAATTTGTGTTCTCTGCACTGTGAAGATCATATGTGATGCTGCCAACATTATCACAAATGTGGAAGCCAACTGCTCAGCCTCTGTGAGTGGTGGTGGTGGAGGACCCCCACCTGTTTTTCGGGCCTCCACTTTTTTTTTCTGTTGGCTATAACGGGTCACATTTGAGCATACAGAGTAAGCAAATATGTACTTGTAATGTGCTCAGATAATTTCAATAAGTGCTTACAGAGGGGAAATTAATGTAGCCTCTAACTGCAATTGATTTACATGCGACAAACAGACCAAGCACTATGGCTCATAATACAAACCTTACCTGTTTGGACTATATTTTTATATTTCATTTTTACTTGCTGCCAGGAACGTTTGGGGCCTGTTGGGTTGCACCTGCGCTCAAATCACATCACGAAATAAAATGTATAAAATATAAAATAAAATATAATAAAATAACGTGTTAAATGGGTGGAAATCGCTGGGTGGAAATTTCTTGTGAACAATATTGTGGCGCAGTGTGACATCAAAAACGACGCACACCTTTCACGTTCGTGACTAAATCTCTGTTTTCCTCGTCCACACGTAAGCGCAAAGACTGAGTCTTTGAAACAAAATATCCACCCTAGCAGGGGTGGACATTTAATTCAAAAGATTTGAGTGATCAAAAATGTGTGGACGAAAGGCCCAAACGCATTGAAAAGTCTGCGTTTTCAAAAGTACCTGTGGACGTAGCCTCAGGATGAAATAATACTGTTGAAAAATGCTGAAAAGCATGAAGTTGTCATGGGGTCTGCTGTGGGTTATTTATATTATGTATAGAAAGGCAGATCTGAAATATGCAGAATACAAGAAAGAATAGAGAAAGGAGAAAAATAGGAAAATACAAGAAAAATCCAACTAATTAAATCCCTCTCAAAAAATATAAGGACCATTTTCAGTCCTCTTTTAATTTATTCTCTTGACCTGTTCATTTGTTTCCCAGAAGGTTGACATGACAATATGGAAAAATACTTTGCCTTGTTCCCGAAAACTGTGATTTGTTTGTGTAATGGGAACCAACAACACGTCAGTTTGTCTTATGCAAAAAAGATGTTTGTCTAGCTTCTCCTATTAACCTTGGATTTCTTTAAGCATATGAATGGTTTCCAAGTATTGTTAACTTTGGGTAAACTGAAAAAAAAACCCCTAAAACAGCTATATTACCAATATGTCCTCCTTGTGACATGTGTGTGTGTGTGTAGCTGAAGGTTAAAATAAAAGATACATTCCTATTGAGTCAGTTGATGAAACAGATTAATTTTATACTTTTATTCAGGTTCTTTCAAATTTTTTGCTCAATGAAATTCAGATGATCAATAATCACAAATTCTCAACCTCCACATCTGAAGTGATCATTTCATTCAACTTGTGTTGTACTACAGCATGGATAAAAGGGCCGCCCTGACATGTAAATATGCTTTGACATGCAAAGCTCACATCTCCAGCAAATATCTTACAAAACCTCTTTGGATCCTCATTTCTCTGCTGAACCCTTTAGAGAAATTCAACAATGGATCAGATCTTCACCTGCATCCTATTCCTGATGGGATTGTTTGGAACTTTTACAAAATGAATTGGCCTCAAGCTCAAACTTACTGTCGGCAGCACTACACAGACCTGGCCCCTGTCAGTAACGACAAGGATGCCAACAAACTTCAGCAGCGCTCCAGCAATGTCAATGACTTTATCTGGATAGGACTCGTGAGAAATAGCTCAAACAGAATGCAATGGCTGTGGTCAGGAGGTGGAGTGGCATCCACGTGTTTCTGGAAACCAGGTGAACCTAATGACTTTAACGGGAATGAAGATGGTGGCTGTGTGTGGAATAAAATGTGGAATGATGAAAATCTACAGCATCAAAAAACCTTCTTCTGTTACGGTGCCATTGTGGTGAAGGAGAAAAAGACTTGGGAGGAAGCTCTGGAGTACTGCAGGGAGCACCATGATGACCTGGCCAGTGTGGCATCTGAAACTGAGATGCTGCTCATCCAGAAAGAGCTGAGCAAACATAACACCACTGATCACATCTGGACTGGATTGCGCTTTCTGGCTGGGGACTGGCTGTGGGTGGACGGGCAGGAGATGGACTATGAGGCCTGGGGTGAAGAAGGAAAACCATCATGTCCACATGCTAAGATAAAGTGTGGAGCCTTACAGGTGACAGGAGGGAACAAGGCTGTTTGGGACGCTCATGACTGTGAGGAGAAACTACATTTTATTTGCTACTGAGCCTATTTACTGTGCAAAATTCATTTGCAATAATCATACATTTCTGTGATTGATGAAGTTTTGAATCAAAACAATTGTGTTATTTGTCACCTACATCTTCTTCATGTGTATTTCTTTCATTTCTATCTTGTGGGAATGGCAAAGTCAGCTTTCAATTATTTAACAAACATTGTGTTTCTTCATGTCTTGTTTCAGTGAGTAAAAAGTTTTAAAAATAAGAAAAGTTACTGAAAATAATCTCCAGATCCTGTTCATCATTCTAGCTTTTATAGCTTTTCTTGCACACAAAGAAAAACACTCATAATAGACAAGCTGTTAGGTTTTGTATTGTTGATCGTCATTTATGCTTAGAAATATCTACTTATATATGCTTAGAGTTTTATAATTAGTCTTAGATTGGTAGAGGTTTGATCCTTAATAGTCTGCAAACTTTGTGTGCACACCTACATCCTGGGAGCGTGGGAAGAAGTCGTACCTTGCCTTATTGTTTTATGGTAGGATAAACGTGGCTATATCTGTTTTAGGCTAAGTGCCTTTTGTTTAGAACTGCTGGACTTCCAGACCAGCAGGTTTAGGGAAGTTATTTATGGGGTCACACTCTGACCCCCCCCCCCCCCCCCCCCCCCCCCCCCACACACACACACACACAGGCAAGGTACTCTTTGTTTGTATGTAGATGTTGTATGTTAATGAACCTATGCATATTCATGTACCACAATGAAAGGTGCTATGGGGAACCTGGCTGAGAGTCTGACGGAGGTCAAGTGGTGGAGCGACGTTTGGCTCCAGGCAGGTCTCCCTCATGCATGAGTAACACGAAGAACTTTGCCTACTTGGTGTTCAATGCTTTTGCTGTGTTTTTAAATTGTCTCGTTCCAGCGGTGGGCCTGTGCTAGACAGACCCAACACAAGCAGTCTCGTGTTACATTTTGAGAATGCCCCACTGTGATGGAATGGAATTATTCTGAAAGGTTTAAAAGCACATATGATGTGATCGATAAGTGTAAACTAAACTAACTAATAAATTTGCAAATTTAGTAACAAATGCATGCTCCAATCCATACACAAATACAGGCAATCTGAACAGAAGCAAAACTATTTAGAAATTTGTATATAAAAATCTGACTCAATAATCACAGTTCTATACACAAGTTCATAAATCAAATCATTTTAGCTATATGCTTTCCTGTCTGGATAAATCTCTAAAGATACTGTTCACAATCTTTTCACTCACTTAAAAGCCATTAAATGCACAAATCGCCTGATATTCACAGATCACATTTTGAGACTCTTTTCACACTGAATTGTATCATAACTTTGTTTTTGTGAAATGAAAAAAATTATACATCAACTATGCACTATAAAAAACGTCTGAATTTGTCAGGTTTGTTTTATTTGTAACCAACAGCACATTTAAACAACATAAGTTGTGCTTTAGAGACGGCACATTTACAGTTCAGGTTTTCAAAAAACAAAAACCCTTAGTTTCAAAAGGCAGAAAAAGCTAAAAAGGAAAAAAAAAGGTGTTTTTATTGAATTGGCTCATTATTGTAGAATCACAGTGATTTCATGGTTATTGAAATGTGTTCAGAATTTGCAAAGTTACGATGCCTCATGTTCTAAATCATGATACACTGCTCTCCCCTACATAAGCTGCCTTTATAGATTTTAAGTATCAGCATATGTATTGGTATTGGCAATACTGGCCTTATATTTACCTGGTATTGGATCGATACCAATATCTGCAGTGTCGCACACCACTAGTGTAAAACTGGGCTTCCTTGGTATTTTTTTTTTCTCAAATAAAAAAAATCTGACAACAGTTCATCACTGCTCTACTAAAAAACACATTAGAATATATTGTTTACATAAGCTGCTGGTGCATGTTGGATGTGCTTCTACCGGAAAAACAGTTGCAGGGCAGTTACAGACTAAAGACTAACTTGTGCCTCCCTGTGGCTCATCCTCTGGCATGACTATATGCTAACTGATCTCTTGCATGTGTTTATATAGTCCAAGTGATGTTGGGTAATTGCAGCTGACACTTCAATGTTACCTCACTGATCGTTAAAGACTAATTTTTTTTATCTTAATTAAAATAAATAACAATCTAAATCGAAATAATCTAGTTCATTTATGTTTATAAAGGTAGATTGATGTAATTCACAATTTATTTATTGAACAGCTGAGTTGTGGAGTGATGAGGACCCAAATGTAGATGTATGATGAAGACAAACTGTGTGGACCAAGCTGTCCTAAAAAAGAATGTAAAAATAATGTATTGTTGAAAAAAAAAAGAAAAAAAAAGAAAAAGGAAACACTGGTACTTCATGTAGTAGTGGCTGAACCAGCCAGTTTCTAAACATTACTGTTGATTATCATATGTGCCAGGCCGGAGGGAGGGGACCAAGAGGATCCTGCCTCTGAAATGTAAAGTGCGGTAACCACACACTTAAAGGAGAGAGAGCACCAAGGTGTACCACTTATTAAAAGTTTTAAGTGAGTGAGACTATATATTTGATCCCTTTATGTGTACCCATGACACTTTGTGGATTACAGAAAATCCAAAATAAATGAAAACTTGTGCACCCATGTTTTTGTCATTGAAGATTTTCGCTGTACAATCATTCCACCCAGCAAAAGAACATTTTGCATGACACTGCCACGATGACTGGATGCAAAATTCTGTCTACTACGGTAACATCCCCAGGCATACATCGTGTAGTCGAACGATGTCGACTACACACTACTCTACTGGACCAATATTATGTCCACTTTTGTTTAATTTATTTTACAATTTTTGCTTAGTTCTTTGTTAACATTTACAAGCATTTAGTAAGTAAGGCTTATTTATAATTGCTCTTCCAGATACAAGGTGTCATGATCCTGGGTCTTTTGACCCAGCGTTTTGTGTTTTCTATTGTTGTGATGTATTTTGGTTCTGGTTTTCTATTTCTTTGGGTTTTGGTTCTGTTCTTCCTCAGTTTAGTGTTTAGTCTTTTCTGCCTCTGTATTCCTGTGTCAAGTCCGCGTTTCTTAGACTGTGTTTTTGTGTGTATGTGTTCCTGTTTTACTTTGAAGGTCCCTGTCTGATGTCAGTGCATTCTGTTTACGTTTCCCCTGCCTCGTCCCCCTACTGTTTCCCAGCCCCTGATTCCTGGTGTGTGTATTTATAGTGTGTGTTACCTCGTCCTCGTTACTGGTTCATCTGTGTATCTTCCTCCGTCATCGATAATTGTCTCTCCGTGTCTCCCTGCATCTCTGTTTCTGGTTGATTCTGTTAGTTTTCCCAGTTTAGGTTTGCTTAGTTTCATGCTCAGCCTAGCCATCTCTGTTTGTATCTACATTTGACGAATGAACTCACTTGCATCTGAGCTGCCGCATCTTGGTTCCTTAATAATTCCATACGGCTTGCCTCATGAGCCGTGACACAAGGTCACAAAAGTGTACAACCATATTTTGAATCATCTTTGATTCTGATCAAAACTAGGATCCAATATAAGCTAGCAAATGTTGGATGAGAGAAGAGAAAGTGAGTGAGTGTGATGGAGCTCTACTGAAAACAGACATTTCGTCAGGCATTTGGCTTCTTTTTACAATATATTTTTTCATTGTTTTATTTTTGCTATTTTTGCTGTGTTCTTTTCTGTGTTATTTGGTAAAATTTATAATCATGAATGCAGACATACAGTCATCTTACAGAACTTACATAACATGAAAACCTTATTTTCTGAAAAAGCAGACATTAAAGCCATGTCCATAACATTCTTTAATGTCTAACAGGTCTCAACAACATGTAAGAGGCTGCAATTGATTAGACTGAAAACCAACAAAAAAAATTGAAACAGGTGAGAAATTGTATAAATGTGCACGTAATAACTCTCATTTTGATGCTTAAAAGTGTTGCCTGCATGATTTAATAGCCCTTAAAATCATGTCCTCATAAAAGACTGGAAATTAACGTTTGTGCAAATTTAATGTAATCTTTAAAACCAGAAAAATGTATTCCTGAAATGCCGCATTATGGCAACACTAGAAACACAGCTTGGTTAAGTGTGACAGCATCCATGGGGATTAAACAAGAAATCTCAGCTCCATCACACACTCACCATCACATTTGCAGTGTTCTCTTCTCCCTGTCTGCCACCACTACGTCTTTTTTGTTGGCCAGAAGATGCTTGTCTGTCTGGAACTTGAAGTCCCACAGGACTTTAACTCTTTTCTCAACCTGTTGTCCTAATCCATATGTGGCATAGATATTCCTGCACATTCTTGAAGCCATTTGGGTTGTGCTTCTTAGTGTGTGCTATGCCAGCTTGCTTACATCCTACTACTGTGTGCTACATATTCTCCAGAGCACCTTTGCAGAGTCTGCAACTTAGATCCTGTCATCTATGGTAGACTCCTGGCTATTTGGATCCGGTGCTGATCAGTCACTGTTCTCAGTCAGCTACAGTAAAAAATAATGGATCTGGGAAAACCTAAAGCTGCTACATTTGAAAGCTATGATTAACTTCCTTCACAGTTGTCAAATGATTCCATCTATGACTGGGGAATCTTTAATAATGTTAATGGACAAAAAGTATATGTAGATAAAAATATATGGTGTTCATAAGTGACCTGATCCACTTTACTGATGAGGCTTCGGTCCCAATACTCGCACAAGATGAGTCTCAGTCAAACCTGGAGGAGAGTGAGCTAAAGAACACAAACAAAGGGATTTAAAGGATCTTCAGTCATATGAGTTCTATGCAAAACTACACAATAATGATAGTACAACACATGCAAGAAGGCAAATCTGCATCAAAATACATACACTGACACACACACACACACACACACACACACACACACACACACACACACACACACACACACACACAGCAAGAGTGAGTAAAAATGAGCTTGCTGTGATGTTCTAATGCAGGTATGGGCATCAGAGCTAGCTAAAGAGCTGAAAATAACCTACCGTGTTTGCCATCATTAGAATCAGCAACTGA